AAGGACTAGGGGAGGACAGCTAGAGAGTAATACGGAGGGAGGACCTAGAGCCAAGACGCCAAAGAGTAGATTTCAAGAGAACTCCTTTTGAGACCTAGAACTACAGACGAGCGTGACCACGTCATCACCAAGAGTCAAGGCTGTAATGAAAGTCCCAGTGGGTGGCACTGTGGGCAGAGGGGACAAACACTTTCTAGGAGTTGTGGAGCAGCAACTGGATCTCCAGAGCCTTACTTCTTACGTTATCAAAACTCTACCCTAGAGCACTAAAACTAAAATGTAAAAAGGACTATCTTCATGATCATATGCAGGCATGAAATGCAGCAACTGAGCCCTCCCTGGTGGCACAGCGGGTTAAAGCACAGAAGCACAGCACTGCAAGCAAGCCGCGACCACTTCAGTGCTAGTTCGATCCCCGCCCTGGAAGTGACCCACATGGCGCGGCAGACCTCTCCTGGCCCCTCCACTGCTCCCCTCAGCAGTGTACTTCTTCATTTGCCTGTTCTGCTCCCCATTCTGTCTCTGGTGAATCCTTTTACCGCGCCCCCCCCCACACCTCTGGCCTGTACCCCAGTTCTGTATGTATAAATAAATCTTAAAAAAAGAAAAGAAAAGAGGGCCCTCCCTGGTGGCGCAGCAGGTTAAAGCACTGCACTAAAAAGCTTAAGGCCACTTCAGCATGAGTTCGATCCCGGCTGCCCCGGAGGTGACCACATGGCGTGGCAGACCTCTCCTGACCCGCCCGCTGCTCCCCTCAGCAGTGTGCTTCCTCCATCTGCCCGTTCTGCTCCCCGCTCTGTCTCTGGTGAATCATCTCACCCTCCACATCTCTGGCCTGTACCCCAGGTCTGTATAAATAAATAAATAAATCTTAAAAAAAAAGAAAGAAAAGAAATACAGTAATCAATGGCCATAAAGGAAAGTGATGTTCAACTACACTGAAATTTAACATCTCTGAACACAGATAGGGAAAGACAAGACAAAGAAAGAGGAGCTAAACCCCCAAAACCATAGAAGACAGTTGCAACCAACAGACCTAACAAGTCTGACCAAGGACTAGAATCCAGAAAACAGTGTCCTGTATTGTAAAGCAATGCCAGAGATAAATAAGCTGAAGACCTAAACTGGTACTTCACAGAATAGAAAATCTAAATGTCAAAAGAAAGTTTTGACCTCATTAGTCATCAAGAAATGCAAATGAAACCTACACTGAGATGCCACTACTCACCCAGCAGCATGGCAAAATTTTATAAATCTGCCCATCAATAATAAGAGTCAGTACAACAGAGAGCAGAGGGTCTCTCCCCTCTCCCTTCCAGAAGGGTGAAAGTAAGTGGAGATGGAGTGGATAAGGATCATGCCTCCATGATGAAGATGCCCTAAAACTCCCAATAGTAGGGGGCTCAGCAGGCTTCAGTACTGATGCAGCACCTACGCCCAGGATGACGCTCCACCCAGCTGCACAGGCGCAGCCGCCCCCGGCTCAGGGTGCTCGCTGACCTTGCGCTCTGTACGCTCCATCTGGGGTCCTTACCGTACCCTTTGCCATCCAGCAGCCTGGTGAATCTAGGTGTTCCCTGAGCTCTGTAGGCTGTTCCAGTGTAGGATAGAATTCAAGGAGGATGCCACAGGAACCCGTGACTTGGAGCCAAGTTGGCAGAAATGGTAAGATAGTGGCTGAGATGCCCATGGCTTACAGTGGGCATCTTGGAGGACAGAGCCCTTAATCTGTAGGGTATGTGGGAACTACTGTCGGAATGGCACTGTAGGACACCTCACTCGGGGTCTCTGAAACTGCATGGCGCGGGAATCAAACGTATCTGGCATCAGAACTACTGCATACAGAAGTAGCCCGCATTTCACCTTTCTAAGCAGGACTGTCTTTTCTTCTCTCAAAGAAAACTCTTGACATAGTAAGAGACGATCAAAAGTAAATGGCCCAAAAAATATAAAAGACAAAGAGCATTCTGGAGGTGTGTTCAGGTAATTAATAAAAATATTATGCTTTCCATCCTGATTTTGTAATATTTATGTAGCTACAGCTTTAAAATTCATAATTTGTTATATTTTCTCATTCTTGTCAACTTCAAGCTTCAGAAATTCATACAGCATAGTGCCACTTATGTTACGTTCAACCACAGACAAAATTAAACCATGTTGCCTAGGATGCTTAAATAAATCATAAACTAGGTTTGATGTGCAATGTGAGATAAGAACCTTGTTTTATGTCCCTCTATAAGGAGGCTGCTGAGGTATGAAAACATAGGTTGCTTTCAGCTTATGTGACTTCTTGACCCCAAGTGCTGGTCACATGGGCACTGGCATTATCACTATATTTAAATCATTATAAAATTGTATGTGCATTTCGCTTTAGATATTATATTTCAAGTTCTGTATTTGTAAAAAAAAAACTGAATGAATGAATAAAACTGAAACTAACACAGGTATGATGCAGGAAAGGAGAGTCTGTAAAATTAAAAACAGAATGGCACAGGAATAAAGTTGAGATTAACTCTAACTACAGGCATACGTTAACACTTCGGCTACCACGAGATATGTCCACGGAAATGTGCAATTAAGTAAATGGAAGGTGTGTGGGCTCCAGGTCTCTCAAGCTGGAGTGAGAATTTGTAGATGAGTAAAGGGAGGAGCTAGAACAGTGCATTTGCCGAGACATCAGCAAGAGATCCCCCTGCACAGCTGCAGATGACGACACGTGAACTGAGCCTGTGTATGTGTGTGATGTGCACACACGCGTCGGTGTGCCAAGGAGCTTATGCACAATCCACAGAAATGACATATTCTGTGCAATTAAAAACCAAAGACATAAAACAGCACAGAAGTGAATGCTGATGTCAGTCACTAAGAGAGTCAAACTGAGAGAGAAGAGGAGGTTGGGGAAGGGAGAGGATGGCCCTAAAGGTTTCTTTCCTGTCTCATCGATGCATCTTTGACACCAAGGCTACTTTCACTTATTTCATATTTTTCTCAGTGACATAAATAAGCAGGAAAGGGAAGAGGGAGAAGAGGCAAAAGTTTTCCAGCAGAGGACTTTCCCACTTGAGCGCTGTGTGCCCGGGGCCACTGGGGCCAGTGCTGGCCTGCTGCCTGTTGGACACTGCAGCTCTGTTTCCCTGGAGACCTGACAAAGAGCAGCAAGGACACTGCTGGGCGCCACTCCTGGTGGCAAAAATGACCCAAGGGGCAAACTGCAAAACCAGGGAACCGTAAACCTCTCAGAGCACACCACACTTTGGGGCTTCCCTAAATCAACACTGGGAGTAAACACGTCTTTCTCAGCCAGATTTTGACCTTGTTGGGACACACAAGTCAAAACACACAGCAAAAAATACACCAAGTCTAAGTCAAAAGGACACTTTAAATTTACACCAAGCAAGCCAGCTACGTGTGGGAAAGTCCTTCTTAAATTCTAAATAGCCTACGATATTTTTCATGACTGACACCTAAATTGCCCTATAAACTATAAATACCCATTTTAATCATTCCCTGAGTTAGACGTAAGCAACAATATTTTGCATTCAATTACACTAAGGCGTTTTGGGTGAGTAGCAAGGCATAAAACTAATTCACTACACAACTGTAATAAATTTATGGTCCAAATAAATTTTATCTATAATTTCCCAAACCACCATGGAAAGTTAAATCATTCATTTTATATAGTACAATACAATGTGGGACTATATAAAAACTAAAAACCAGGAAAAAAACTCTCCAAAGGCGCTGGCTTCCTTGAGAAAAATGTTAATGTCTTAAGAAAGAAAGAAAAAACAAAAGCTTAGATAATTTAACAATCAAAGTCGCTTCCTACAAAATAAAAAGCTAAAAAATACTGGTTCGTTGGTGTAAATCGCTGAGGAAAAAAACATTCTAGATAAAGACAAGACTAAAACTGCCAAAGTAGAAGTACAGGTTTGCTCGAGATAGAGCGACATGTGCAAACACTACACAGAGCTGGGCCCACCTGCCACGGCCTTTCTAGAATGATGGTGCCAGTGACATGCAGCCAGAGATGCCATCTCGGCGGGCCACCGAAGGGGACCAAAGTCAGTTGAGGCCGTGCAGCACAGAACACATATTCTTTTCAGTCATGCCCTATACTACCACTTCTTGTGATGAATCCTTAGAAATGCAGGGAATGGCTCCCCAGTCCCACTCACTGTCTGTGTCAAGAGTTCTAGAAAGATTCTGGAGAGCCTCAAGCCAAAAGAGCTCTGACCTCTACCACACCACTTTCTGCAACCGGTCAGAAGGAGGGGGTTCTCTGTCTCTGTCTCTCTCTCTCTCTCTCTCTCTCTCTCTCTCTCTCTCTCTCTCTCTCTCACGCACACTCATACACACATGTGCACATATACACATGTGTACACATACCTGTGCATGCACGCATTGAAATATTTCCCTTGCTAAGAAATCTTCACTCTAAGTATCACTAAGTCTTCAGAATCAGGTGAGATATCTTACTGTTTTCACTGAATTCCTTAAAGACATACATCAACTTCAGAAGAGTTCCTATTTCTGATGACAAATTCGGAGAATGGGCTATGCCTGATGTTTTGGTTCTTAAATGAAGAGTGAGACAGGCTTGAAGTCACGTATGGCAAAAGGTTCTCATGTGTTCTTAAATCAGAGTGAAAGGTAATATGAGCACCCTGGTATTTGCCAAACTTTTCCGTATGTTTAAAATACTGAATATTTTTTAAAGAACTGTAAATGCATGGTGTTATTCCAAGACACAAGACAGCAGGGACGCACCCATGCCCAGCATCAGTGCCCGGCATCGTCCTCAGAGAAAGCAACAGCCAGTCCCTCCAGTCACTTGTAATTTCGAAGGGCAAGCCAGGTTTATATGATGCCCCTTTGGTTGGTTACAAAAAAAAAACAAGCACGTCTGGCTTGCACTTGCTTAAAGCAACACGCCTTTTCACTGTGAACAAGATGATTTCAAGGAGGAGGGAAGGAAGCTGCCCCTCCTGGGCACATACCTGTGTCACTCCCAGATCCTGCTGACAGAGCTGGCATGATGCAGGCAGCAGGATGGGGCCCGCTCCACACTCTGGCTCAGACAGCCCCGGGGAATTCCAGCTCCACAGCCCGCACCGTCCACCAAGATTTATATGTCACGCAGGCTGTTTCTACAAGGGAAAGGCACACTTTAAGAAGAAGGCATATTCCTCCATACCAGCATTCTCAAAGTTTTATCCTAATGACCAGAAAGGTGACGATTCTTCAGAATTTTTTTCTACAGACTATACACAAATAGTAAGTGTGAAGGTTTATGATCCTGCTGTGAGATTTCTAATTAAAAACATGAAAATTTTTCCTGCAGGTATCAACGCTTCCTTAAAGAGTTTTTGCACGTTGGTCTGAGAGCTGTTGGCTGCATCAACAGAGAACTTGGAGGACTTTTGGTAAACCAATGCCATATGAAAGTTCCTTCCCTCTGCCATAGTTTTAAGCTATATTTCTAAATGTAGAACAGGACTCTACAAATTGTCAACAACTTATCACCAATTGTAATTAAATAGCTCATCCCAAAATAATGACTGCCAAGTTCTCGACTGAAAACTGCAAATGCCCTTGAGAGCACGCCAGCACAGAAGCTAGATGCTATTCAAGACTGAGAACTGTGTCAATAATCTCAACTAAATGTAAAAAGCCACGCTTATCAACAAAAGAAAAACCTTTTAATAAAAACTAAGCTTTGATGTATCTTGCAAAATATCAATTTTTTTCAATAAGTGGGATACACTGTTTACCCCAAAACAGTGAAGACATTACTATATCATAACTAAGAGTAGGGCTCTACAGTTTGACCTAATTGCTAATCCTGCTAGTTCTTCATATCCTAAACGCAAATGGTGAGAACAGCTATTCTGAACTGTCTGATAAATACAGTGTCTAGTGGATGGCAAAGCAGCAATAAAAGCTGGTTATTCGGACTATGCCATTCTCTTTCAAGTAAGTAAGAATATAAAGTGAAAACAAAAGAAAGTAGCAAGACTATAATTTACACTGGCCTGACACCTAGAAGGAGGCCATGTGGTTTAAATTTGAGCCACTGCTGCCTAATAATGGAAAATACACTGTATTTACACTTTTTTAGAAACCAGAAGACCTGCACAATGTGTGTAAGTTCCTTTTCATGCATTTTCCCCAGCTGCCTGAAAGCAAACATAGTAATTTAAAAGCACATTTTAACATATATTAATAAGAAAAACGGATACTGTAAATACAGGGGAAAAAGGCTCACTTCAATTCTTAAAGACCCTAAATTACAGAATAAAGAAAAGCAAGCTTGCCAGATTTCACTTTTAGAAGTTTAAACTGTACATTTCTATGAAGGCCTTCCAAATCAGCTTTCTGATAATCAAAATGAACATTAATATTAAAAAATCACCAAATAGTCATTCTTGGATCAGACTATTTGGTGCAATGCCTTGAACTTCATATTCGTACTAAGTTTGACAGCGCTAAATATGCACACCAATCCACACAGAGAGGGTTGTTAATTAGAGATATGAGGGCTGTTATTTTAAAAACCAAGTAAAAATGTAAATCACAAAGTTAAATACCTAAAATTGGGCAAAAAAGACAAAGCAAAGTCTCATTAATTCCAGTCTCTAAAGTTGCTTTACCCAATAATTTTAAAAAGCAACGCTGCTTTGCTTTCTTAAGCTATTCTAGCAATCAGGATTAAAATTCAGCTACAAAAAAGTGTTCCTTAATTCAAACACAACGAAAGTCAAGAACAGACCATACATAATTTAAAGAATACATCCAATTAGTAGACTTTTGTTTTGTTGCCAAGAAAGAAAGGAAAAATGGTTAAAATTTGTAAAGTGTGTGCATACATATTTCTACCATTAGGATAATAAATAATGCATATTTTTATTTATGCATGTATGTGGGTAGGTATTAAGTATATATATCTGTGTATGTATGTATATAATTTAGTTTTTGTGCCATGAAAAGTCAATGTTTCATGTTAAACAACCACATACACCACCTAATAAGTCAACTTATGTTTTAATAAACATGCCACAAATACTAAGGCAACCTTACATTCCACATCAAAACATCCATCTGAGTTGGCATTGCTGTATCTATATCTATCTATCTATCTATCTATCTATCTATCTGTCTATCTATGTCTTACAGGAAAGGCCAAAGCAATTTCTCACTTTTTACTTCATAAAGAACACTCAAGGTTAAATTTTTCCAAAGTAATATTACTTAAGAAATACATGCTACAAAGTAATTATCTTCTCCAGAATATGCACAGGTATATTAATACAAAATAAATGGTTTGATAAAATCCTAACCAATAAAATGCTTAATGTTTTGTGGAACGAAGTAGAGTTGCTAGGCTCAACTTTCAAATTGAGTTAGATGTTTGTAGTAATCATGGTATTTTCTTTGGCTAATTTCATTGAAAATGCTTTGGAATTTGTCAGAACCCAGTCATAATTATTACTGACTGTTGTATGGAATCAATTTACTACAACACAAAAATACCAGCTGTTATAGCATGTCCTAAGAGGGATTACCGAATATTCTTAAATTGAAGTTCAATCCATCTTTCCATAAAAATGAGAGAGACCCAAACGCCAGGCACATAACAGGGGTATCAAGTGCACCTGAAGCATTTACAATACCCAACAGAACGATTACAACCCGCCTTTCAAAAGGCTTATTTTTGAAATTTCATTATTCCAGTTGTACTTCGCTTCTATATATCACACTATATCAGGTTCTTCTGGCTCCAATCATGTGGAAACAGTGGAAATATGTGATGGTCTACAGCTTACACTGTTCAATGTCTACCAGTTCTCAGCGCCCCCGTGGCACTCCTGACATCTAGTGGCCAACTTCAGAAGTGCAAGTATTTATAGCAGTTATTTTTTAATTTTCAGTAAAGCACAAACTGCCTTAATTGCTCCCAGTAAAATATTCATTTCATCTGAAAAAAATTTCACCTATGTGAACACACACAAAATTAAAGAAAAAGCACACACTCCTGTATCTCCTCTACCCTCAATACTTCACTACTATACACCTCTGACACCAGATGTGGTTTTCCAACATCAAGAAATCCTGCAACAGCAGAAGTAATATCCCAGAATTTAATTCAATTCTGACACTACCTCCCTGGGGGAAGTATCAGATCCCACAGGTTAAGGCCTCGATCCTACCAGACTGTACCCACAGACACTTCAGATGTCAACAGCAAGCACAGGTTGGATTAATTTGCGAGCACAGCTCACAGAACTAGAAAAGCAGTCACCTATTAGCTTATCAATTTGGTTAGAAAAGGCTATAACTCAAGATAGTCACAGGCAAAGTGTGAGAGAGGAGCTAGACTTCCATGCCCTCTCGCTGTGCCCCCAAGTCTCCAGGTAGTCACCAACTCACCAGCTCCTGAATAAACTCTTGTCCTTTAGGGGTGTGATGGAGGCTTCATTACACAGCAGTGACCGATTAGATTAGCCACTGGCCACTGGTTATTGAAGTCTCTCCCTGAAGTCTCTCCCTCTAGGACCCCTAGGGGGTCCTAGAACACTGGCTGTAAGTCATCACCCCGTCTTTCTACCCCACAATCCTCACTGCACAGCAGAAAAGAGGGAACTTCAAATCCAGATCGGGTCCTGTCACACCTCCACCTTCTGGCTATTATTTAAATATTAAACGTCTTAAACATTTTTTTCAATTTTTTATCTTTCAAAACTACATGCAAAATAACATGTGGAATTTTAAGCAATGCAGTTACAAATCCTAAAATCACATCACATTTGAGTATTTTCTATTCAAAGAATCATGGACTCTGTCAGTATGCACACAAAAATTACAACTATGCTTACAATTTTCAACATATTAAGTCACTATATGTAAGAAACTACGCTTCATACAACCTAGCACAAAATTCTAGATGTCAAAAAAGGGGGGAAAAGTGTAAAAGCTTAAAAACCCCACATTTTAAAAATCCACCAGGACTCACTAAATACAAAAGTAACATGTCTCTTTACAAATTGAAAGGATACCAAAGGAACAGAAACGGATCCCAGAGAATCCTACAATCCTTGAAAAACTTAAAAGAGAAAGTAAGAGAAATGCAGCTTTATCATCCCAGGGTGGGGAGACCCAAGCGGCAAAGCCTCTGCCGGGCCAGCCCACTCGTGCAGAAGAGCCAATCTGCTGAGCCGGTCAGCGCTCCAGGGCAAACACGGTGGCCACGTTCACTCGCTCGCCCTCACCTGGAAGCACAGGCGGCCTCATCCGCATGCCCCGCTCCTGACGGCCACCCAGGGCCTCTGCACACCTGTCTCCTCTTGTCCCCAAAACCAGCGCCTCGCTGCTGCTGTGCCCACCCTCTGCGCCTCATGCTGGGACACTTTCATGTTGGCCCTTTTGAATTATATTTATTTTCTGTCAGCCTCCACCAAAATAGTCTTCAAGTTCACAAATTAACCATCAACGCCCCAGTGTTTGTGCCGTATTTTAGGTCTCTCCTCTAATTCTTGGGGACTAAGAAGAATGACAACTTCCTCATTTCATTTTCCGTAACTAATCTCAATTCCAGATCCCCACTGCTATTCCCAGCATCCCAGCATCCCACTGATACTCCCTTAAGCCCTCTTCACTGGAGAAACAGACCTTGGCAGCATGTGTAATAATTAAGATACATCAGTGTAATTTTATATTTTGTGAGGGGCCTATGCAACCCTCTAGATTTCCTGGAGCGAGGAATTCTCATCCCTGCATGTCCCTTAAAAACGGCAGAACAGCCCCTATTCAGAAGTACTTCTCCGCGTGACCAACTCTGACCTTCCATGAGTTGGCTCCCTGCAAGCCGAGTCACCTCATGGCTCTCCTAGTGCGGAGGCAGCACTGCTTAATGAAGGGACTAGGCTTTTGAAATGAGACAGACCCCAGCTCTGCCTGCCTGACGCCAAGATGTTGGCCAGACTATTTAATGAAATGAGATTAAACTCAATGACAGAAGTAAAACACCCAGCCTATCATAGCCAATCAACGGGCAACAACTTTTATTAACACTTTCAACCTCATTTTCATCACTCTCACTTTCTCACTTCTTCTAATTTAACGAAGTTGTGGAGGGACTATAATGAAAAGA